GCTCCGGCTCTGCTAGTTGCATGTCGATGTGTCCTTGCGCAAGACACTTAACCCCAAAATGTCTCCCGTAGCTGTGCCTATGTGTATGAATGTGATAGAATCTGAATTGTAAGTCGCTTTGGATAAAAGCGTCTGCTAAATGACTGTAATGTAATGTACTGGTCCTGGTCTGTGTGTGTGTCCACAGGAGGATGCCCAGTCTGCTGGAGTACTTCAGCTACAACTGTAACTTCATGGGGATCCTCGCCGGACCCACCAGCTCCTACAACGACTACATCGCCTTCATCGAGGGAGACCCCCGTCGCCATAGAGACCAGGAGGCCGACAGGAAGCTGAAGCAGAGCGAGCCCTCGCCAAACGTACGACACATAATAATATTATAATAAATACATTTAATTAGGACTGTTTCTGAGTTTCTAAAAAGGATTTTATGACGATGAGGAGGGATGTTGAGAATATTGGATATCAGTCGATGCCAATTGACCCTTCGCTAAGTCCCGCCCCTCAAACGCAGACTAGCCAATCACAGAGAAGCATCATCTCTGACCAGGAGCTCTGCTCCATAGACTCTCATCAATGGTTCCAGATGTTCTTCATGTTCAGGCTGTTTTAGTGGATTGGAAGCTAATTGTGTTCTATTTTTGGATAATATGTCTTCAGGGAGTGCAGTTAGTGACAGTGTGGGATCCATGGTAACAGCAACAGGGGGCGGGTCTTTGCAAAGGGTCAATTCTGATTGGATGCATGTAAAAGCTCAGCGCACACTCAAGACTAAAATTCAGATTTCGTGGAGGAACAGTAACACATCACCTGCATAGCGACTGATTTTGTACAGTCTGAATGTCTTCAATGAAATGTTAAAAAGAGAGAGACAGACACAGACAGACAGACGGACAGAGAGACAGACAGACAGACAGAGAGGACGTTACTGTTCCCTAAGTCTAGTCAACTAGAACCAACGTGTGTCTCCTCAGACCGAGGTCGTCCGTAAAGTGGCCACCTCCTTCTTCTGCCTCCTGGTGTTCCTCTCGGTGTGTAAAGTTTTCCCCGTGGAGCGAAACATCGACGACGACTTCATCGCCACCATGCCGTTCTACGCCCAGGTGGTCTACCTGTACCTGTCCATGCTGACCACCAGACCCAAGTACTACTTCGTCTGGACGCTCGGTGGGTGTCTCACCTTTCTTCTTCTTCTAATCTGTTGTTAACCTCAGACAGACTGCCTCACCTTTCTTCTTCTTCTTCTTCTTCTTCTTCTTCTTCTTCTTCTTCTTCTTCTAATCTATTGTTAACCTCAGACAGACTGTCTAACCTGTCTCACCTTTCTTCTTCTTCTCTATTGTTGACCTCAGCTGATGCCATCAACAACGCCGCCGGCTTCGGTTTTAACGGCTACGACAGCGACGGCTCTCCTCGCTGGGACCTCATCTCCAACCTGAGGATCCTGAACATCGAGGTCTGGACTCGACTCACGTTTAACCTGAAGCTGCTCCGGATGTTTATTTCTACTAAACTGTTGATTTTCTCTGTTTCTCTTCCAGTTAGCCACCAGCTTCAAAGTGTTCCTCGACAACTGGAACATTCAGACAGCTCACTGGCTCAAAAGGTATGAACGCATTCTGTCTCTATTAGTTTAATGTTCATCTACAGTAGAGCCACAGTGTGTCGGTCAGATGGACGGCAATAAAAATCTGTAAAATATTTACCTCTTGAACTCTTGGTTTTCATTTTAAATTTCCGTTTAAAAACCCTCCTTTTGTTTAACACTCATCGTTTTATCTCAACTCTTATTTAAGCTATACGAGACAGCTAGCTTTAGGGTAATGCCTGAGGACAAGCACACTGGGAACAAACTGTATTTTACTTTCTGTATTTTATTGAAAACACATCACTCACAGTCACACAAGTCTCTGTGTGGACTGCTGCCGCTGCTGGTGGTTCTGTAACAGGACGTTATTATCTGCACCTGCAGACACTATGATTTGAACAATGGCCTCATTATTCTGTCTGACCTCTGACCTCTGGTTGACAGGGTGTGTTACGAGCGATGTCCCTACCACCCGACGGCAGCCACCTTCATCCTGTCAGCCATGTGGCACGGCGCTTATCCGGGCTACTACCTCACCTTCCTCACCGGCATCGTCATCACGCTGGCTGCTAGAGCGGTGAGCTGTCCCTGTTAACTGCTAGCTGTTAGCTTGTAATCGTGCTAGCTGTTAGCTGGTGATGAGTCCACTAACTGTAACGTTTTAATCTCTCAGGTCCGACACAACGTTCGGCCTCACTTCCTGCAGTCACCCGCCCACAAGCTGGTCTATGATGTCATCACGTGGGCAGCCACTCAGATCGCCATCTGCTACACAGTGGTGCCTTTTGTCCTTCTGTCCGTCGGTCCATCCATCAAGTTCTACAGGTCCGTAACCAGTCAGGTTTAACTCTGGTTGAACTTTGAGCTATTCAGGTTTAACTCAAGTTTAACTTTGAGCTATTCAGATTTAAATCAGGTTTAAGTTTGAGCTATTCAGATTTAAATCAGGTTTAACTTTGAGCTATTCAGGTTTAAATCAGGTTTAACTTTGAGCTAGTCAGGTTTAAATCTGGTTTAACTTTGAGCTAGTCAGGTTTAACTCAGGTTTAACTTTGAGCTAGTCACATTTAAATCAGGTTTAATTTTGAGATAGTCAGGTTTAAATCTGGTTTAACTTTGAGCTAGTCAGGTTTAACTCAAGTTTAACTTTGAGCTAGTCAGGTTTAACTCAGGTTTAACTTTGAGCTAGTCAGGTTTAACTCAAGTTTAACTTTGAGCTAGTCAGGTTTAACTCAGGTTTAACTTTGAGCTACAAACTTTGAGCTTTTGAGCTACAAACATACCTCAACTCTGGAAAACTATTCAGTGTGTAAAAACACTGAATCTCTTCCTTTAGCTGTTCGATGGTGTGAAGTCGTGAGAATCGAGATCTCAGACGTGGTGTTAGATCTGAACTCTCTTCACCATGTTCCTTCCTCCCTCCAGGTCCTGGTACTTCAGCCTCCACATCGGCTGCGTTCTGCTGGCCGTGGCGCTGCCGGTCAAACCGAGACATCTCCGCCTCAAAGACCAGCAGAAGAACCTTCACCAGGAGCCGGTCCAGCACCACCCGGAGGCTACAGACAGCAACTGCAGTCAGAAGGAAAAAAACACATGAGACCAGAGGACAAGAGAAACAATCATGTCCAACATTTTATTTCCATAAACTTGTATAGAAAGAAGAGGAGGTGAACCACATCAAACGGAACCTTTCCTCCTGTCTCGGTATTAAAACACGATGGTTCATGACAGCAAGTTTAAAATACTGTATTATTTGGATTCACAGGATGACGAAACCAACGAAAAACAGGCCCTGAATATTTGCAGGTCTGAGTTTGTAGGATACTTGACGTGGTTTGACTGCCGGGACTCAAACACAAGGTTATTCTTTGGGCTGGGTGGCAGCTTCAGGTTAATGTGCAATGATGGAAGATAGGGTATATATATACATAAATACATATATATATATATGTATATATGTATATATGTACACATGGAGCAGCTGTCCTGAAGTGTCATGGCCGCCCTCTCCGGTCAGAAAGCTGCCGATTGAATGAATGAAAAGGATGAAGAGGAAAATGACTGAACAGAAGATTTTAACAAGTACACGAATGAAAAGATAAAGTCCAGTAAAGAATCTCCACCACATTCCTCCCAGACCGTCTGACTCATCGTGTTATAATCTATTAAACCACAACTTCACAGTACTCATAGAATTTATAGTTTGGAGAAAAGTGCCAATGATTATTCCACTCAGTCGCCTTAGTTGTTCTGTCTTTTACAAGAAAAAGAAAAAGTGCTGCTTAGCAGGATAAGTATTAACTCTTTGTGGTGAGGAGGGCGTTGTGTTTACATTTGTAGATGTCACGTTTTTTGTCACGTTGTTTTTATGTAAATTCAAAGACTTGTGTTTTGATGTAAGATGTGACGCCGCTTGAAGAAGATGAAAACGTCTCACGAGAGTTTAGGAAAACTCCATGATGTGAAGCTAAAATACAAATCAGGTTCCTCATAAATAAAAGCATCTCACAACAGCAGGAAGTGAACCCAACGTTCATCTGTTGGTTCCATGAAGGCGTTAGCTAATGTTCAGGTTAGCTAACAGTTCAATTTAGCCGCTAAAATAAGATGGTTTAGCGTAGCTGCTAACGCTGGTTTAGGGTTAACTATAGTGAGTTGTGAAGCTAAAGAGACTGGTTCAGGTTAGCTAACTGTTAATAGTTAAATTGAAAAGATATAACGGTTTAGATCAGGCTAGCTAACGGGGTACTAAAACAGTTTGGTAAAGCTAATGGTTGAGTTTAGAGGCTAAACCTTGGACGTATAGTAAGAACTAACTGGACCCAAAGATTGCGCCAATTCAGTCCGTTGAGAATCGCTGTTTCTAGCTTCCCGGTTTACTTCCAGTGTTTCTCCCGCTGGCTCGTTGACTTTACAGTATTATAACCTTTTCTCAGCTTGAGGAATGTTTGACATATATCCTATAAAACCTCCATGGATCAGAAGTTCTAATTAGAAAGAGTCATAATTGACTTTGCGGTTCGAGGTGTCCTCTCAACAGTTTTACAGACGTCTTGTTTTAATGGTGTTTTATGGGGAAATGCTTTTGGGCTGCAGGGGAATGTTTCATTGTAATAATGTGAGTGGTTACTGGCTTCTGATCCAGTTCTTGTTAAACATCCATGGGGTCAACACTTTGGTTTAACAGCCTAGTGAAAACAAACAACACAACAGCTTAGTTTGGCTAATGGGCAGTTTAGCAATGTTAGCATGGTTATGTAGCCCAGATTAGCTGACTCTTGATTAGCTAAATCAACTGGTTCAGCTAGCAAATGGTTAATTTTATGAGCTTTAACACTTTGGTTCAAGTCATGATTCAGTTGGGCTGAAAAACAGTTCAGTGTGGACACTAAAACAGTTAGTTTTTGGGGTTAGCTAACGGCTCAGTGTAGAAGCTGAACCGGTTAGTTCCAGTTAGCTAACGGCTCAGTGTAGAAGCTGGACCGGTTAGCTCCAGTTAGCTAACGGCTCAGTGTAGAAGCTGAACCGGTTAGCTCCAGTTTAATAAAGTAGCCCCAGGTTAGCTAACAGGACAGTTTGGTTCAGCTTGTTTCAGCTTGTTTCAGCTAAAGGTTCAGGCTAGTAAATCCTTACTCCATTAATGTTTATAAAATGATGCATCATGCCATGTTAGCATGGATATGTAGCATGCCATGTTAGCATGGTTATGTAGCATGCCATGTTAGCATGGTTATGTAGCCTCCTGCCCATCTCTTTCTCCATGACGTGTTTCTAATCAGTGTTAAGTAGACGAGAGAACAAGACTTTCAGATTCAGTATATTTTTCACCACCAACTCGTTTATGTCCCTTGTGTCTCTTTTGGGCAGAATCAGTAAAAGCAGATTTGTTAAAGTTCCCGTCTGTTCTCCTGTTTTATCACATTGTAAAAGGAACCTTGAGAACCTGGACAAGGACGTGGTGACGTCACCGATGAACATCGAGGCTTTGGCTGATAGTTTGAGACTTACCGTTCTTGAACCGGCCTCATGTCTGTAGGGTTGATATGGACGACATGTTTGTTTGGTTCTTTTGTAAAATGATGTGATTAAACCTTGGGATTTTTTTGACACTTGACGTTAAGTGTGTGTTGTTGATGTTTGAGAGGTTATCAGACTACCTGAAGGTGATTAGTAACAGGAAGATAAGACCTACTTCTTTTTGCACTTTAAACCCTAATAAAGTGAACCAGGACGACACTCAAGTTATAGTAATTCCTCAGAAGGTTAGCTGGGTAAAGAATGTAAAAAGAACCATTAAAACCAACAGCACAAATGATTTGACAAAGAAATATCCAAAATATTTAATTTTATAGCCCTGAAGAGAGACTAAAGGAGAGTAAAGGAGACTAAAGGAGACTAAATGAGAGTAAAGGAGAGTAAATGAGACTA